CCCCCCTCGGCATAATAAGTGTACTTTCCCTAAAATGCCTAAATATCGTACTGGTTACTCGAAAAGCAAAAGTTTTGTGGAAATCAGTATTCAAAAGAAAAGCGTACCCGAATGAGCGAGAGGTCCTCGACAACAACATCATTAATACTTCAAGCGTTGAAGATCAGTCGACTGCTGAAAGTACATGTGAAACTTCAGTGTCAGCATCAGCACGGAAAATTAATTTGGGTAACAAAGAGATGCCCGAGTTAAACAAAAGTGAAGTAAGTGGCTACCGATTTATAAATCTTGCGATTTTGGGAACTATATTTAAACTATAACCCTGCAAGGATTGCAATGAATGTCAGTTGATGCTCATTGAAGATGATCTCAGTGAATGGGATGTGCATCATGTCTTTCAGTTTGGTGTAGCTCGTGTGGATGTTCTGAAGTTTTTTATACCTCTGAAAAGCTTGGTCATTGCTTTGAAATCAACAGAAGAATGACCTATGCCATGAGGTTGCTTGGTTGTGGGTTATCAGCAATGGAGAGGTTTGTTCGACCATGAACATGCCACCGCCAGTTAACCCTAAAGCTTTTGACTACCATAACAAAGCTATATTACATGCTGTAAAAGATGTTGCAGAAGAAACCATGAATGATGCAGTCCAAGAAATCCACAATTTGAACAGTGCAGAAGTTGATGAAGACTGAATTCTGAAAACATCTGTTTCATGCGATGGTATGTGACGAAGGAGGTCGCGGCATGGTTTGTCACTGTTATTTCCATGGAAACAGGCAAAGTTCTTTACATTGAACACTTAAGCAAAGTTTGTAATAAATGTAAGAAGCATGAGGGGGAAAATACAACAGAAAATGAACTTTGGAAATGAAATGAGAAACATTGGTGTATCTCGGGCAGATTGCCATCCGGTAAGCGAAGCAAACTATTAGGAAATAGAAACCACTAGAATGCGTCGAAAACTGCTTAGAGGTCAAAATAATAAGTTAGGAGGCAAGAACAAGGAGAAAAAAATGTGAACCATATGCTGCTGGCTCTACTCTACTCTTTTCAAGAGGTTCTACTCCATTTTTTTATTGGCAGTGTGCTGTGGTTATTGACGAATAATTTTTAAAAAACTTTAAGCTTAATTTTCTCAAATTGACCTTTCGCGAGACACCAAAAACTCTCCTGACGTTAATATATATCCAATCAGTCTCAAACTTTCAGTAATATATCTTTACTAATGCAGCCATGTTGTGAACCTAAAAAATCTCATACCCAAGAAAAAAGCACTATGTAAAACCCTATTATTTACCTTCACTTATACCGATTTTAGAGTATTTTCATTAAATGTTAAAAAAAAATTGGTATATGCCCTTAGATGATAACTTTTTTAGGTTCAGAGCATAGATCCATCCATTGGGCATCCAAAAAATGTGTTTTTAAATCTCTCTCAACTTTACTTTTAATGTAATCATTTTTGCCGCAACCACCTAATATTGCGCAATAAAATGGTGTTGCATGGTTACCATGGCAACAACATATGTATAAGTGACTGATTCCGTGTCAGCAACTCATTCTTTACAACTTGAAACCCAAATATAGTGCAATACTGCAAATGATAAAAAAGATTTTCCAAGGTATAAGACCACCTTTTAAAGGGTTAAAATCATATGGACTAGTATTGTGGCTTAATTAAACATACATTGTGTAGTGTATGATTTGAGCATAATACAAATTACATTGCATTTCTAGCATGACTGTGCCTGTGGTATTAACACGATTGCAGCAATTTTTGCTCCACCTACTTTTGATAGATGAGAATGAACTTCTAAGTTATGAATGTTCAGAAAATAAATGGATACACACAGTAAGAACACTCATGTCATTCTTAAGTTAACTAATTAGCACATTCCCATTTATCAGAAGAAAATTACCCATAAAATCACAGCCAAACTCGTACCACACAACGATGGGCTCTGGGATCACCATAAAGTGAAAGTGTAAAAGCCCGAGACCTACACTGTAAAGTATTATTATTAAACTAAAAGTCTATGAAGTCTTAAGAATAATGTCCATAAGTACATTCATATTTCTCTTTCTTAAAGTCTCTCTCGCAAACATACAACGTCCCATCTTTTTATTTGCCATCGCAAACTTTCATCCACTACACGGTCCTTTGTAATTGTGTTGATCCACGCTTCACGAGTTTTCGTTGATAATGCGTCTTTTTCCGAAATTATTTCGACATGTACCGCAGTTGATATGGAGCAATTCGCTCCCGGCATCGCGGAAGAGTCAATGAAATTTAATGTTTTTAGGCTCTGTATACTATTGTATACGTGAACACCTCAAGCATTGCACTATAAGTTCCACGTAACCGAGAACAATAAGTTATTTTGTCACGTGATCTGGCATTCCAAACCCTCTCATTATATTAACTATGTGACAACACACTCGAAGCTGCTAAATGCGGCGACAGAACTGGAGCAGTCGATGCGATCTTACAGGAGGCTCGAGTCAAAGCAGGAGTTCATCAAGGATGTAAAACTGGACCCATCGCATTTATCATCCACATCATTAAATTTTCATAAATACTCGTATACACTCAGTATGCAACGTTCGAGACAAGACAAACTTTTCCAGCCTTCACTTTGTTATTCATCACTCCAACTCGTGTGTATACATGGACGTAAATAGTACCTTTATCCCGATTTATTCTCAAACCATGCAAAAGTCTGAGAGTTGAAATCCCACTTCCTCGAACTTTAATCCAAATAAGGTTACGTGAACTACATTTTGAAATTTTTTGAATAATAAATCGTATATATAATATATAAATATTGCATGCAGCCTAACAAAATTATAATAATGTACAATATAATTGTATAATGTGTTCGTTTAGAATAAAAATACTGTCACTTTATTATTAAATGAAGTCGTGTTTTTTCATTCACTATAATGAGCTGGAACGAAATGTTACTTTCAAGATAAAGAGAAAAATGAACACAAGAAGCTATAAAGACCGATATAAATAATGTTAGCGTAGAATGTCAGAAGATAAGTTATCCGCTAAACATTGTAACCTCTTTATCGGTAGAACAAAAAATATATTTTCCGCACCCCCAAAACAAGAAGAACAGTAAAACTGCTTCAACGCAAAAATTTGTCCATGTTAAAGAGTTTTGCGCAGTTTGTTTAACGCTGCTTCTTGCTCTTGTAACCTCTTCTTTAACTGTAGAACCTTGATATCGCGTGGTGATAAGAAAACATGGCTCTTAACACTCTTGCTTCCATTCATAGGTTGAATCATAGTGTAAGATGTTTTGCATGTTAATGTAGCTTCTGGTAAAATATTCGAATTATTATTTCCTGCCTTCTTTTCTTCTAACGCCGGCACAAGTTTATCACAGTAAGCTACCTTGTTCTTAGAAGTTGGCAAACTTTGTAATCCAGATTGATCAATATCCTTGTGTTCCCGGTTCGCAATACTTGATATTTCATTATTAGAAAAATGCTTTCTTCGTTCATCTTGCGGCAACTCGGAATAAACGCAGAAATCAGAAGCTCTGGTTGCTTTAGAAATATCTTGTTCTTTTTGACTGCTAGATCTTGATAACGATTTGCTTTCTTCTGGTACAAAACCAGTTGGAGCAAATTTCCTCGCATAGGGAATTATATTATTTTTTACAGTGGCTTGGATACTGCCGCCATTACTGATTCTGCAACATCTTTTTGTTTGTTCTTCAACGGTATAATTTGTTTGGTACATATATTGGTTCATTGCAGCAGGGCATCCATTGGTGATATTTTGTCGGTCGTGTCTAACCGGTGACTTGTAAATATTATGAACATTTGATATTGTTACGTGCTCCTTTAGAGGCTGCTTGGTCTTCCAATTGCCCGAGGGAAATCGCATTGTTTTTTCACTATGAAGTGGAGGAGAGCATGGAGGTGTAACAGGAAAATTATTTTTATGTATTACATTTGTCGTTTTATGTTTAATATAAGAAGTAGGTAATTGGGATAATGTAAATACGTTAAGAATAACAGGCATTCCGCCATCCTCTGATTCATTTCTGAAGTTTCCAAACGCTGTAGGTCTCTTTGCTGCATCCACTGATGGAGCAGGGTCATCAATTGGCCTTTTCAGATTCCGTTTTAGTGCGTCAGCATCGGTGTTTCCGCGTTCTTTGCTAATGGAATTGTCTGAATTAATCGGAGTTTCTTGGGGCTTTTTCTCGATGCCTTTTTCTTGGCTTAAAAAACTACTTTCAGAATTATAGAAACTTTGTTGTGGATGGACGTCATTTCTGTCTTCAAACTTATTCGTTTCACAAGATCGTTTACCTTTCTCATCATTTAAATTATTAATGGGATTTTCTTCAAATTTGGACTTTTCTTCAATTTTGAACTCTTCTTCAATTTTGAACTCTTCTTCAATTTTGCGAAGATTTCCTGTAGCACCATAAGGGCTAGTAAATACCTCAGTATTGCCGGAAGGCTTGAGAGGCGTTTGTCGTCGTGTACGTCTACAAATTGGAAAAACATATAGTACTTGATTAACATTATATAATTAATATAATTTATTTCATCTACATAAATACATTTAATTTTATATTCAATTTTTTCAAAAAACTGCAATCAAAAGTAAGTTGAAGCATATTATATATTAAATTTTAATTACGTACTAGATAATTGTGCATGGGGTCAGACACATTTACGTCTATGCTAGCTTAATACACGATTCCGGAAAGAAAGTCAACATGGCTATAGAGCCTTGTTTTCGTGATTGAGATGTAAAGCTTGAACTAATATCACGTACACGAAGTTCTATAGCCAAGGTGACGTACGTTCCGGAAAGGTGTATTGTTGTCATAGAACGGCATTTACGTCAGTTTTGCAACAGGCCTGTTTACACTTGCAATCCGTTTGCCGTGATTTTCGTCTTCTGCATGTGATGTGAACGAGTGCATGGATGAGTGATGAAAGTTCATATGAGGGTACATATACTCAACTCATCTACTCGTTCACATGCATCAGAAGAAGAAAATCACACGGGAGATTGCAGCAAAATTTGGGCAAGTGTAAACGGGCTTTTAAGTATTTTCTTTCATAATCTTTGTTTTTTATTTATTTATTACTTATTCACTCAAATTACATTAATTATAAAATAAGACATATATACAATGGTGGGGTTAGGAACTATCTAGAAACCATAAGGGTTTTATTTAAGGTCCCTAGTTAAAAGATTAAACTAAATTAATATAATAATAGTCTACATGCAATACCAGTTAAGGTGTTTTCAGAGAAAATAAAGTGATATATACAGTAAGGAAACTGTAAGATAAAAGTAAGCTATATATTACAATAATTAAACTTTTCTTTAATTTAATATTTAAGCGGCAAAAATTATATTTATTTGAATGTGAATGAAGAAAGTACTTTTTCATAATTTCATAGTTGTTTTGATAAGATCTAATTTATTTATAATGCTTAGCAAGATTATTCCACACATCGATTCCTTTATTATCGAGTATGTGTTTTCTATAATTTGTTCTATTACAATTTTTTTCTAGCAATCCAGTTGGTTCTTGCTCCACAACAATAATTGCCAAAAAAATATGAATCCAAATCTAAATCGTCTTTCAAACAGATGTATAGTGAACCAACGGAATACAATGAAACCCCCGTATATTGCAATCGGAATATGTCGGTCGTCTTCTGTTTGGCAGAGTTCGTTGTTTAGATGTTTCAAAAAAGATCTTAAGTTGATTATATAATCTGCACCTGAATTTACATGTCTGATGTATACGAGCCCAAATATACACAGGGAACACGCCTGAGTGAAGTATTGATGCACTATTGTTAACGCATGTAAATACTCAACTTGTGTTCATATGAGAACAAGCCACTCTGCTCGGTGAGATCTCATCTTGTACCATGTGGGATTTCAGTCAAGGGGAATAAAATTTTCTATGTGAAATTAATTTGAAAGCTTTATCCCACCTGACCAAAATGACATTTTTCGCCCATTGTAACCTAAGCTATGGTATTGAACGGCATAGTTGGAAAGTAAAAACAAAAGATAAACATTAATAGACCTAAACAGACCCTACTAAAGTCGTAACACAAGGTACAGTTTGTTTAATCATAATAACGGAAAATATTTCGAAGATGCCATATTTGCATAATAGGATGCAACCTCGCCCCCAGGGCCTTTTGAGGAAGGAGACGAAGGGCAGCGAAGGCCGTGGTAAAGGCTGGTGAAATAATCCACAAATTGTGGATTATTTTGTCACGTGATAAAGCGGAGCAAATGCTATACCGGGGGGTGCAATCGCGGATCGCTGTATATTCGTCAATATAATATAAACACCGAATTGGACAAATAACTGAACAAAAATCAATCTTAAAATGAAAAAAATCTGTTAAGTTCTTCCATAAATATTGAATAAATATGAAATTGTCTTCAAATTAGATCTGAGAACCTTGGTTGAACTGTAAAAGAATGAGATCTATTAAATATACAAAGCAACAGTGCAACACGAATGGATCGATAGAACTATTAAATATAAAAAGAAAACAGCTATAGTTAATACTGTAAACAGGTACGCATTCGGTTTGTATTCATTCGGCAGTATGTAATTTCACCTTAAATATTAATATACAGTGCATAAATGTATATTCAAAAACTCATTTTAAATAATTCATGAGGAAAACACAAAGAAAAGTCATAAGCGTGTCGTATCTTTAATACTTTATATGTGATAGAGATTTCCCTTGATTTACATATTAGGCGAAACTTTATATAACACGCTTCCAAGCTGAAAAGAAGTATTTAGTGTTGTCAGTCAGTGTTTAGACTCTTCTCTCTTGAATCTTGATCTTCGACAAGTATTACTGTTGATTATATTCCATATTTTTTTTGAAAAACATCGCAGACTATATATTTATTCCCACTGTAAGTTGAAAAGTTTATCCTCATAGTTGCAGTCGCAAAAGCTTCTATCGCGCCTTTGCACGGCCATGTTTGATAAAATCAAAGCAGCCCGCACCCCCGGTTTGAAAAGTTAAATATTCTGAAATGTTCAAAATTTTAAGCATCACGTGACCAGCCTTTACCAGGGCCTTCGCTGCCCTTCGCCTCCTTCCTCAAAAGGCCCTGGGGAAGAGGTTGAATAGGATGTTGATACGCATGTAGGACGGCGACGTCAGGACGACAACTAGCCATCCACAAAATGACATTAATCCTTTAGCACAAGACTAGAGAAACTAGTAAGCAAGAATTTTCGACGTCGTCCAAGAGAGGTTGGGTTTCACGTCTCGTATAGTACGCTAGCATTTCAAACCATGACAGGTAGTTTTTCTAGCAGAGTTGATCGAAATTGCTCGGAATGTTTGTTTGAAACTATATTAAATTAATACGAAAGTAAATACAAGACAAGATTTCCATAGAATCATTTATTTCAAACAGTTCGTTTAGCCGTCGTGCTGACGTCGCCGTCTTACATGCGTAAACTCACTAAGGTCGTCCCACCGAGGTGGGATAAAAACGGTCATATGAACACAGCCGAAATATTTCATCCCACTCGGCTGAACTTCACGGTAAATCAAGCTCAATGAACAGGTCTCCTAGACCTTAGAGCATTTTCCACTGTATACATTTCGACTTCTTCAGTGAATTGCTATGATCGACACCACAAAATGATATAAAATGCACCACCATTGTGTCATGCAACATCACTCCGCTCAACCATGCGATCACGTAAATAAACGTACTTGCATTGAGTATTGTGAGAAAACCCTTTCAAGAACAATTAGTATGAACAATTTTATCTAAAGGATCAATGTTTCCGAAATTTCCTTTGGCAAAGACTGAAATATAACACTTGATCTTGGCGATCAGTACATCGAGAAGTACAAAATTTCCCTATAGGCTATAATATATAAATATACATTCCAACGCTCATTCTTCTCACTAACGTGTATATAATTTGGAACCAATTGCCTGACGAAATGCGGACATAACGTTGCTAAGGTTTAGCATGCTGGAGCAATTGTATCATACAGTAACCTCTACAATCTTTATTTCCGATGATCCGAGAACATGGAAATTGGCCGCCCCGCCGCGGCCGCATGAGCCTATTAAACTGGACCTTTGCGTCTTGCGCACGCGCAGTTGCTATTTTTGTCAGTTTCGTGATTTCATATTTCATTTGAGCATCATAACAACACTGATAATATGGCGGCCGAAGGGAAGGGACTTTGACCGGCGGAAGCGTTCTACAATGTTGTAGAAGATGGAGTGCCCTTAGAACGCACTAACTATCCTCTCACTGATAATGACTGTTCCAACATTTTAGTGACGGAACACTTTATCCTTATGTTTTTTTAAGGTGACCTTGAACAAATTGTCTATTAGTCGGCTGAAAAAAGTTTATAATCCAACAATTTTTTATTTCAAAATTTAAAAATAGCATGCAAACAATAACAAGTCGGCCATAGTACTGTCTTACAGTATAAAATATGCAAACTAATGCAAAGAACAACTCAAAGAACCTTAATACTTGTTTGACGTCCACTACGAATAACGGATTTTCCTGACGAGCGATTATTTCCATCGTTTTTCCCTGTTGATCATCTACCCATCCGATCATTTGCCGCATCAATCCCAGAAAGTACATGCAAACACTAAACAGTGGTGCAGCCAGTCCGACAATTTAGTCCCGCTATGCAAATTCAAAATTTTTATCATTATTCATTTCTTTAGAAATTGATTGTTTTCACAGTCAATGAACACGAAAATATTTGCATAGCGGGACTAAATCGACGGGCTGGCTACGCTACTGACACTAAAATGAATCCTGCAAGCATCCGGAAATGCCATACAAATGCTGTACTAGAAGTCACTGCGCCATTTGCGCATACAGTTAAAATTTGCAACCCCCAAAGTACAGAACAAATATTACGCCAAAATTAGTAACAACTCGCCTATCGAAATAATCGCAAGAACCCATGGCCATGTTTTATGAATCCGTGCGAACGTTTTAACATTGCGCATCGCAAAATGGTGTTCAAGCGCTTAAAAGGCAGCTTCCGGGCGTCTCGACGGTATGTTTCTGATAGACGGCGACAGAAACATGCAATTTCAATGCCAAAAGTACAGGGTCTTTTTCAGCGCTTTCCAAAATCCACTGCGTGCAAGGGAAAGTACAATATCTCAACTTTGTATATCCATGCGAACTTCTTAAAGGAAGTTATATATAAAGCGAGAAAGAAGGAATATTGAGGGGAAAATGCATGTTTTTATCGCGCGATTGTATTATGAAAACCCAGCATGATATGACACCTGATACTTGCTGACCTTTTGTCAGTATATGTTTTGCTAGTGTCTAATTTTTGCATGTGTACTTATTTAAAGATACCATGTTCCCGGCCACATATAAATCGTATGTTTTTGTTTTCTTTGTAGTCTTATAACTTTATATAATAAATGTATATATTCAATGTGGCAAAACTAAATAAATAAATAAATTAGAATTGCAAATAAAGGAAATATTTTGTAACATTCATCCAACATGTTTTATATAATAACTACAGTGAAACACGCAATTTGATTGGTCAACAGCCGTGCAGGATCAGACAATCCTGCACGGGAAATTCTGAACAGAAATTCTTGGACATAATTTTACAAATATACTCGCATTGTAAAGTTTCATTGTACAATACCTTTCGACTTTGAAGTAAGTTTCCAATTATTGAGACGTTGGTTTAGTTGTATGAATAAATTTCTGATCAATAGACAATACATTGCTATTCAGCAAGTAGCAACGAGTAGCGTTGAAATTCATCAGACCATGGCATGCAAGTACAACATCTCTCGCTTCAAAGTTGATCAAACGCTTCGCAATCTTCACATATTCAGGTCGAGAATCTTGAAAACTACTTTGGCTCTCTGTTTAAAGGGTTTTCCATTTCAAATTTCGTATATTTTATCGAAAAAGTCCCTGTATTTTCGCTGTATATTTTCGCGAATTTGCGATCAAATTCTGCTCACCTATGTTGTTGTTTTCAGTAGCGTGGAGTAGCGATTCTCTGATTGGTTAATTAACGAATGTTGTGAGAACTGCACATTTCATCAGTAATTTTAATCAAGTTAAGCGTCGTTTCACTGTAGTAATTTTATAAAACAATTACCAAATGGTTTTCCCGTGTAGGATAGCATGATCCATGCACTTGGGATGTTGCTCGACTTTCGGAAAGCGTAAAAATACACTCGCCTACGGCTCGTGTATTTTTAAGCTTTCCGAAAGTCTCGCAACATCCCGCGTGCATGGATCACGCAATCCTGCACGGAAAACCATTCGGTATTCCTTTATTCATACATGCGTGTACGCACGGAAAAGTTTAAATCCTTTTAAATTTTACTCATGATCATGAAATAACTAATCAAATAAAAGGATAGAATTTAGTTCTCTGTATGATTTCATGTGTATTGGTTCAGGTAATTAGTTCTATATAAAATTCCGTGCGTACAGCTCGTGTGAAAAACGCTTAACTGGAAAGCAGCACACAAAGAATATATATCCCCTATTAAAGCTTGAATTTCAAGGATATTCGATTACAACATAACATGTCTCATTTTGCTGCGGGCAGGCAAATTTCGATTATATACAATTCGCTAAAACGTTAATTTCAAAACTTTATTATTTTTGAAAACATACATAATAATAATTTGGTATACAGTGCTAGATCTTTCATTTCATATTGGACGAGATATAAATGTTTTCAGCCAAAGTTCTGTTTGAAAATTGGAAAAAAAATCGACTAAAACGGCTTATTAAATTTCTTTGAAGACATTTGCTATTTTTTCGGGAGTGTTGGAAATTTTAAAGAAGTTAGCTTCAATCTTGTATTATTTTATGGTTTACATAAAATATTTTGACCTTCGGGCCTTGTGGGAAATGAAAAATTCGAATGCCAAAGTTCGAATTGAAGCAACAAATCTGGAACGTCTATAGCCTAGAAATTTGAGGGAGTTATCTTAGCGTGCCAAAGTTTAGATGCACAAAATTAATGATACAAAGCGTTTTTTCTGGCATGGTTAACAGAGCACAACGTTGTATAGGTGTTCAAGGACATACTTTTTCAGATGAATAAATCATCGAATGCGTAAATATTATTTATCGTGCGTTGTGTTGACAAGAACAGCATTAAATTAAATGTTAATTTGATAGGCCAACTGTCAATCTATTGAACTCTTTTGTTGTTTATAACGAAATCATCTCCATAGCGCGCACGAGCTTGAACAAAAGCTGTTTATCCAGCTTTTGCACGGTCAAAAATTTCGCCCTTAGCTTTGCCACGAAGACAGGAACTGCAACCACTGAACCACATTCTCAATCACACTTGTTTCGAATTTCATCAAGCAAAAAGCTTTCCCCAAGGCCAAGCGCTTCTGTCATAATGACAACAACAACCACTGGCAACATGTTTCGAGGGATTGATACCGCATTAAATATAGTTCATGATGAGACACTCCAAAGGTAAACTGACAAATTATTCGAACTCACACCTTCGGGATTTCGGTTCACCGCCCCAGCTGTTGATATAGCAAGTCACACAACGTTCAAAGCGGCCTCTTTATAACTTTATTCACGATGTTTACAGTTAAACGGTTACAGTATAAGATTGTACTATTGTGTTAAAAAATTTTCAGTGTAGAAATGTACAAGAAATGAAGCGAAGTATTGTCAAACATTGCACTCCTCGGTCACAAATTATGTGGAATATTACTTTGAACTTGTCATATACTTCATCTTATATAATTAATGTGGATCAAAACAAAAAACGTAAACAAAGCCCGCGCATGCGCAGAAGGGACTGTAACCTGCCTTTAAGCATTTTCAAAATTGCTTCTTCGAAATGAAACTGTAGTATTTCATTCAATATTGCTCAAATATCTTCAAGTCATATATCAAAATTTAAGTTGGGCCTTTCTAAATTCAGTGAAGTCTATTTGATCGAAACTCCTTGTCCAGTTTTAACGGTATAACAAATAAAACACCGATACTTTTTTTGAGAGACCCGGTATATATATATATATATATATATATATATATATATATATATATATATATATATATATATATATATATATATATATATATATATATATATATATAAACAGTTTTGTTTTTCGTTATAGATAAAAGAGTGCTCAATACTACAAATTATTTAGCAGAGCGAATTAATTTGTTATCTTAAAATGTTTCAATTTCTCGCCGAGAAATTGAAACATTTTAAGATAACAAATTATATATATATATATATATATAGCTTAAGATTTTGGTTTACGAAACACAATATATATATATATATATATATATATATATATATATATATATATATATATATATATATATATATATATATATATATATATATATATATATATATATATATATATATATATTAAAGTGCGACCTGGAGACTTTAGTCACTAATGACAACGCGCCGCCTCACGCTGTTTAGGTCAGATAGTTGGTGATCATCCTTTACTTTTGCCAAAAGTCGGTCGGTCGGGTTTGTTTTATTTTTTATATAACGATTTGCGTCAAATAAACATGCACATGACAAGGTACTTTATTTCATATTGTCTATTGATATATTCAAAATAAAAAACAGTAACAACTTTTCAAGTTTATGCAAAGGAGTGGCGATAATATATGGGGCCAATATTGCTCATTATACAGGGTGTATCAAAAAAAACTGAACAGATTTGAAATTGCTCTGACTTTCGCAAAACACCTATTTGTATCCGGTTTTTTATATATATAGCTTCTTTGGGTACTTATAATGTAGAATAATGAAAAAAAATTTTCGAACTCAAATTTTGTGAACCAGGGGGGTGTGTCTTTTCCAACAAATTAAAAATGGCTCGCGCACAAAATTTAAAAGCTGGAATCATATTTTGAGTTAATAGGTGGAACATTTGTCGGGTTTTTAATTACTGTACAAAATTTCAGACAATTTGGTTTAGTTTAAGTCCCTTAACTATTCACGCAAAGTTACATTTTTCCTAAAAATCAGCTATTTGCATGCTTAATTAATGCATTTGCCTAATTTGCATATGTCAGCAATATGCAAATTAGGTAAATGCATAATTAAGCATGCGAAAGGCTGATTTTTTAGAACAAAATGAATAGTTAAAGGGCTTAAACTGTACCGAATTGTCTGAAATTTTGCACAGTATTTAAAAACCCGACAAATGTTCCATCTATTAATTCAAATTATGTTTACAGCTTTTAAATTTTGTGCGCGAGCCATTTTTAGTTTGTTGGAAAAGACACACCCCCCTGGTTCACAAAATTTGAGTTCGAGAAATTTTTTTCATTATTCTACATTATAAGTACCCAAAAAAGCTATATATATAAAAAATCCGGATACAAATAGGTGTTTTGCGAAATTGAGAGCAATTTCAAATCTGTTCAGTTTTTTTTGATACACCCTGTATAATAAAAGTCGGCCCATTTACACTGAATATCCAATTTAGATAAATTTATCAAAATATTAACTTGACTAATTGGTATCCAATTACGTCACTTGCTACAAATTACATAACAAATAGTTACATTTGTGATTATATTGTCGCTACGGCGCAAAGTCGCCTTCTATGAATACCATGACGTGTCAATAACAATTTAAAGATAAATATTAAAGCCCGGCACATGACTTTCAAACAACAGACGTTTCTTTGTATACATCACAACATCCTCATGCACAGCATTTAATCTTTTTGATTATTTAAATCTGATCTGTCTTCAATAACAGACTTACAATAGTTAGTAGATGCTAAGTTAAGCTTCATTTGATGTACAATTTGATGAACAAAAGTTAAAGGTACATGTATAAAATTGCATCAGTATCGATGAGTAAATAAAACACTGGGCGGCATAACAGCGGCGGAAATACCGTTTCATGCGGTCTTCCAAATATGGAAATATGTTCCAAATATGGAATGCAAGCCGAGGTGAATCGGTGAATCTTGAGCCGGGTCTAATCCGAACTCAGCGGTATATTTAAATTTTCTACGCACAGATTAGGATGCTCCCAGCTCGCTCGCTGGTCGCAATGATTCCTATACAGATGAAACAGACTGTTGTGGTTTTTTGAGGTAAAACGAATATATATATATATATATATATATATATATATATATATATATATATATATATATATATATATATATATATATATATATATATATATATATGTATACAGCTAATTCAATAAAGGTTGTCCTTTGCAAACCTTAAACTCTAAACCTTAAATCTTAAACTCTAAGCGCGCAAAGCAAAATGGGAGTACTGATTTCAAGCTTTGTATTTGAATATTGCAGCTGTTTGTGAGTGAAATGTTTTCGCAGGCACATATTTACCATGTCTCTAAGAAATGGACTCCATGTATGCTTTCTAAACTGCTTAAACAGAGCTCCCATTACGCTTTGCGCGCTTAGAGTTTAAGGTTTAAGGTTTTAGAGTTTAAGGTCTGCAAACACAACCTTTATTGAATTAGCTGTATATATATATATATATATATATATATATATATATATATATATATATATATATATATATATATATATATATATATATATATATATATATATATATATATATATATATATATATATATATACATACCCGGGGCGAGGGTATTGATTCCGCACGCGGCTATTTACCCACGGGGAGAGGAAAACATTAGCGAAGTCTAAAGCTCATCAGTAATCGTGGGCGCATGGCTATGGTTCACGGTTCACCGTTCGTGGTTTTTCCGCCGCTCCGTGTGCTCCGTGTCCCGTGTGCTCCGTGTTTTACTAATAGCCATACAGCATATATTCATACTATTAAACTAGAAAATACATGAATGCAAAAACCCTCGCCTTACTGACAAAACCATTATGTTTCCTGAACATGAAGTATTGAAAGTAGTTGTCGTGGTAACACGATAATTTTTAGAATAGTTTTAAAATTGAAAAATCCCCCAAAATATCACTTTTAATTACAAAATGATCAATTTCCCAAACATATATATGCTAGGTATGCTATTATACGTAATATAAGCTTCAATTTAATGTAAAATTCAATCACAATTCACAAACGCTTCGCAAAACGTTTTAAAATGTTCTTAAAACTAAACTGGCTTTTATCGAATTATCGGTAAACATCGAGTTTGAAATAAACTGCTATAAACAAACAAACAAAACATCAATATTCAAAATTTACCTTCATTAACGTCGGCGACTTTGCTCCATTCTTTTGGACGTGTTTAGGCTATCGGAAAGGTTTTGAAATTGACAAAATTTTGCAAATATACAACTTGCAAGAAATGTTTGTAATCAGTGGCGGATATCTTGGTGGGGCGGGGGAGGCGGCCGCTCCACCACCTTCACGGAAAATTGACGAATTTTCGGAAATTTTGACCTAAAAGAGGGCTAAAAACAGTCTTTTCGAATGCAAATGGGGGTATGTCGGAAATTTGAAAGTTTCGTCGGAAATTTAGGAGGCTTTGCCCCCCACCCACCCGGAAAAAGTGAATTTCCGCCACTGTTTGTTATTTCGTTATACTGCAAATTTCAAATTTGGCCAGTCAGTGTTCACTATTCACGACAGTCCGCTACATATTTTGAGATCAGTGAGGATGACCATGCACCCACTCAACACCGTTGGTGAGCCACGCTCGCGATCATTGATGAACTTTAAACTTCGCTAATGCTTTCGTTTCCCCGGGTGTAAATAGCCGGGGGGAATTAGTGCCCTCGCCAAGGGCTTACGCACGGAACGGCGCTCCGCGCCGTTGGCTCGGGGATTAATAGTTTGTAATTGTATACCAAGTGCTTTATCACCTTTATGCCGCAATGTCTAATATCATTTTCCGGCCTGTACCACTTATGTCAAATCAAGCCGATTAAGCCATTATTCGAATATATCAACCTTTCTGGAATAACCTCATTATTAAATTTATACATGCGAAAGATCGGTCTGATATCATATCAGTTGATGAGAGTGGCCAAAATTAGCAATAAAACGTGAGCGGGAGTTCGACTCTCATTCTCGTATAGCCAGGGTCAGAAGACAGAAAGCGACGGGAATATCAACGTCATTGTACCATGTATTTTGATATTTTGGTCACGAGTCAAGATGTGTTCAAGCCCAGCTGTAAATAAAACCCAATGCATCGCAGATCTCGTATATCTTATAATCTCGTATAGCATGTATATATCAGCGTTGCCGCAGAAACCTGCACAAATGGCAACAAGCACCGTGACTAAAGATGAAAAAAAAGCGCCACTTTGCCTTTGTCTACAACTACTTAATTACTAAATTATGCGTGAATAGTAGCCTCGAATTAGAAATAGCTCGCTATGATCTATGACTATGGATGTTGCTGTAATAATGACAACAATAAATTGTTGTAGATATTCTGTTAGTATGGTTCATCATATGCCGTCTTATGTTACTTCTGAACTTGGGCAATAGTACTGTTTGTAAGCTTTCGTCATAACAGTATGTGGTGTTCACATTTAGATTAACAGCCATCTTTTGTCAGTGAACCAAAATGCGCTCCGCGCTGTAAAGCACGTGTGTTCTATTCACACCTTTGTAGTCCTACAATAAGACATAACGTTCATCAAATTAAAAGTTAAGTTTGGCCCTTACCTTGGTAATTTCTGTTTACGTTTCATATTAATACGCCAAATGACATAAAATCTAGAGTAGACAACCGGCGATCAGCAATACGACGTGTATGATAATTTTGGTGGGTCAGTGTAGGCGACGATGGCATATGTCGTACTCGACTTTCAAATGCTTAATTTCATCGATTCCCTAAGATAATAGAGTAAACAATCATATGAGCAATGACAACTTTGAACCCAAGCGACTCATGGCCGACTAAGCGTTGAATGGACATGAAATCATACGTTTGAAATGTCAGATGCTGTCACTGTATGGCTTTGTTACTCAACAAAGATTCAGCGACGAAAGTGTGAAAGTTTTACAGCCCGTTAATAAAAGTCCATAAAATCGGCAATTGATCAGTATGATGATTGCTTTATCCGTTCAGTTTAAATTTAGTCACAAATACACACTGAAGATCCCGTACCTTTTCGATTGTTCGTTCAACAATTTCGTCAACAATATTAAACACGAGTGGCGCGCTCTAGATTTATCACCGAACACCTACGCATAAGTAAATAATTCATTATCAGCATACCTATGACGTAGAAGTCCATATATGGTTATTTGATTGACAACCATTCATACATCCAATTGTTATTTGTAATTATCAAGGCATGCTAAATTAGCATAACAATCGCGATCATGTGTCTTGTGTAAAGATTTGTGTGTTTGTAGCCGCAACGTTATTGCCAATTCGCCCGTGTTGATTAGTGAAGAATTTCCCTAACGTCATTTCCGCAGGGCCAGAGGCACAGGAATCCTATGTCAGTTGATAGTTTTAGCAACTATAATATAACAGTAATCCAGTAAAAATAGGTACGATATAGCGTACATGGCGTCTGCTGGTCGTTTAATGTCAGAATCACACAAATATGTTTTAATGTTAAAATACATAAATACATGAAATTACCATTTTATTAGAATAAATATAGGCTATTTTATTATATACCATAGAAATATACAGACCTGTCACTGCAAACAGTAAATAGCTTCCGTAGCGACCTTGACAACATTGGCACATAATTACGGGAACCTCTCAGTATTTTGATAAAATACAAAAGAACAGTAACTCCGAATAACATTTTCAAATGATTTTTATAATCGACGTTGCGACTAGATTGTAGTAACCATCTGGACTGAAAATCCTAGTCGGGATTCAATCCTGATGACTACAATATAGTCAAAGGTCGATATAAAATTTAATTAAAATGTTATTCGGAGTTACTGTTCTTTTGTATTTTTTCCAAGGGTCACATGGAAGAAGCCCTTTCCAGTACGTGAGCGGGCCATGCCACGAAGATAATGAAGTTAAAATTACCTGAGTTTAATTAACCCCATACATGAATTAAAATTCGCTTTCTAATTGATTCAGAAAAGCATCTTTCTGGTTGGTTCTGTTGTTCTACAGGGTGTATAAAAAAACCTGAACAGATTTGAAATTGCTCTCAAATTCGGAAAACAGCTCGTGGTATCAATCAAGTTTTTGTTATATAGATTCCTTGAATACCCATAATGTAGAATAACGAAAAACTGAAATACTCGAACTCAAATTTTGTAAACCAGGGGGGGTGTCTTCTCCAACAAACTAAAAATGGCTTGCGCACGAAATTTAAAAGCTTTAATCGCATTTTGAGTAATTGATGATTAATTTGTTGGATGGAAAATTTGCTGGGTTTTTAATTACTGTACAAAATTTCAGACAATTTGCTTTAGTTCATTATTCTACATTATAAGTACCCAAAGAAGCTAATATATATATTGTTTTTGAGTTCATCCAGATTAGGCCGTTTGCTGCGTCCCGATATCGTTCACTTTCATTTCACCCATCTTGGAACTGAAATATTTTTACCGGAACTAACACTTTCGAACACGCTGAGTTCAAATCCGAAAAGTTCCCTCCGTAGACCTGCAGTTTTCTCACAAACTGCAATTTTATCTTCACTAATTTCGCGACAACTTTTTTCATTGTTCAACGACACGGATCGATGACGACAAACGATTATGTCACTCAAAAAGACCAATTTCTATTAACCAGTCTACCTATTAACAAAAGACCGCTTTTGCTCGAATCATTTTGAGTTATGTTATATTATGCGTGTTGGACGTAAACAACTTATCTTGTCTACAACTTTGGGAAGGTAAAGATAAAGCTTTCTGAAATCCTCAGCCTGGCTCTATCTCAATAAAATCACAAGGACGTTAATGCTAAGTCTTTTTGGCTATGTCTCTGGGCTGAGAAATAACTCTTTTTTCGTTAAAACGCGAAAAAAGATAATAAATAAAATAACTCTTTTTTCTTTTTTCTTTTTTCTTTTTTTCTTTTTTCTTTTTTTTATAAAGAAAATAACTCTTTTTTCGTTAAAACGCGTTAAAACGCAATCAACGTCTTTAAAACAAAAGTAACGTGAAGCCAACGGAACGGCAAAGACAACACTAAAATGAAATATTGTCGATGGGTTGCTGGTAGAAGACTTACGACAAAATCACTTAGATCTTAAATAATCTTAAACTAGAAGAAAAATGTTCACATCAAAGACAAATATCAGTGCCAAAGTATAAAATCTGCGGCTCTGTAAACTTACAACGAAGTGGAGAAATGTGTGCATGAGCTGTTTATTTGGTGATTACAACGTATATGAAACATTCCAATAATACTTGTTAATCGCACAGAATAACACCAACTGATATATATAACAGTTCAAATGCAATGATAAGTTACCTCTTGGCATGAATTACGTCTCAAAATCTGTGTTGGAAATTTTAATGCTGACCCATTACATAACATTGCCGTTTTACATCGTTGTATAAAACATTTTGATCACATGTAATTAGGAATTATTTCTCAGCCCAGAGACATATAGCCAAAAGACTTAGCATTAACATTAAACCCAGTGCTTGTTGTGTGTTGGTTTACTGGTTTCCTATAGTCACAGGGCAATATTCTCAGTATTCAGAGTGTGGGCTATTCACCATGCAGTTCATGTCAACGGCGGCTAGGGGCGATTGAAATTGGCCAACTGATGCTAACCACACTGTCCATACAGAGTAACTGAGTAAGATTAGCAGCATAAGACAGAGTTGTATATAAATAAGCAGTGGCGTAGCTAGCGGTCCTGCTTGTCCTGCCCAGCAGGACTAAAAAATTCCCCAAATTTCCTTACTAAAACATTACTTTATTTATCTTGAAGCTTTAAAAATATATTATTATCATACTGTTATTTTGTATAATTTTCTCGTATTTTCGTTATTATTTTTTAAAAGTTTTCCGTATTCTATTACATTTACGCAATTTTACAGCTTGCCGTGTCTGTTACCTAGCAACTGCAACTCTATAAAAGCTCATTTCCGGGCAATATATTGATTTACACGCGCTCGTGTTTCGGTCCTGCCATTTTCAAATGGCAGGACTTGCTAGTATAATTCATACAAGAAATCTTGGTTTCTGATTGGATAATTAGATCTGCGCATGCTCAAATCGGCTGTTTACAAATGCGAAGTCCTGCTCTCTCGAAATGGCAGGACTTGGCCTTGTATTGTCTTTACTTGCGAGCTTTTCGCGTGATTAAACCCACTTTTTACTAACTCTGTCAAGATTACTCAAGTGATGAATATGGAAATCAACCAGCGTGGAAGCCCATTGTGATTTGGATATAATTTCTGGCTCCTGCTAAGATATTTTAGCTCACGAAATGCATGTCAACAGACTCGATCGTGTATTTTGTGTCGTATTTTGATATAAAGTATGAACGTATTTATATTTGCCAGTTCATCTGCTTTATGCATTGCATGAAACGAGGCATGAAACACGAGCGCTTATATGGAAATGATATAGCTACCAGTTAGATTTACAAAGTTTATGTTATTTATTTAGATATTTGGCCGCATTTTAATACACTATATTTACTTTAAACGCTAGTACGCTACGGCAATTTTATTATATTTAAATACCATAGGCCATAGCCATAGGCATAGCATACTGAATTATACAATCAGAGTACCAAGCGTAGTGGTTCGTAGTTGATACCACTCCGTTTAATATGGTTTATTAAACATTACTAACCAAACGTAGTAATTTTTTAACGAATGCTAGCCGTATATGTAGTCATTGTAGTGTTGTATATTCAACAGGCACTACAACAATTGTTCAGTTACGCAATTGCACGTTGACCAAGTGAAAGATCATATTACAGACGTGTATTGAAAACATCATATTTTCCTCTTACACCGACTTGACTATATTTAGCTAAATTTTTAAGTTGAAAAATATATAGTCAAAAAGTGATTTTTTTTTATTTTTCTAATTTTTTTATGCTCCCTTTGGAGTATTTTGCCGTGAAATCGCAGGAAATGGCCATTCCAGACTTCTAAAATTAAAAATTTTCCGGGGGAGCATGCCCCCGGACCCCCCTAGAATGTGTGAGTTTTAGAGCAGGACCTGGCGAATTTCGCTAGCTACGCCACTGTAAATAAGTTTACCCACTAGAGCACAAAATACCTTTATGCACCATTCTAATGGAACATTGGAAACTGTCGCAGAATTCGCTGGCTTCGTTCAACGAATATTTCTGCACGGCTGGTTCAACACTCACTTTTCGTTTTACAAAGTTTATTTCACACAAATACTATACGTTAATTACAACAATCCGGTCTTTTACTTTACGACCTCTAACCATTCTAACTAAATTAGCGTTCGTCACAACATTTTATAACTTCGGTCCGGAAACCGTACCTACATATTTTCATCATGCAATACATACAATAATGTTATTAGCATACTTTGGCTTGAATTCAGCTTATCTATAACGAACTTACAATTATCTTTGACATACATGCGTCACACAACTAATTGAAATAAGAATAAGTGTTATTAGTATAATTTTGCAAGACACAGTTTCAACATATTTACAGCACATATATATTATAATAAAATTAAAGTTATAAATCCGACACTCTCCCCCCCTTGACTCACCTACGAGTCAAGCATCGCCTTTGTTTTCCACCTTGCGTCTATTGCAGCACTCCTTTTTTGTCGCCTCTCTGTACCGTCGACCTTTCCCTTAACCACATCCAAATTCACCTCACCAACTTCCTTGATTTCATCCCCCTTCTTTACCTCAACCGGGTACAAATGCTGACAAGGCCTGCTTAAGAGTTGCCTTCGACCATTTGTCATCACATACACCTTAGCACCACGTACAACATTATCCTTGCCATGAATCAACTCATGCACAACACCTGTCTTCCACTCCCCCCTTTTCTTTCCCTGCGCAAACACAATGACCACATCCCCAGGCTTCACAATCACAGATCCTTTCGCAGACACGCCAACCTTGTGGAACTCTCTTAGGTTTGTAAGATATTCCCGTTTCCACCTGTTCCAGAAGTGCTCCAAAATGGTACTCAAATATTTGAAGCGTACAATGCTATTGCCCTTGGTAGAATCCTGTCCTAACTCCCTAACATCTACCTCAGTACTATCTGGTAGTGTAGTAATTCGTCTACCGTAAACTAAATGTGAAGGTGTAAGCACCTCACTGCTTACCTCGTCATATTCGTATGTCAGCGGTCTCGAGTTTATATTAGCTTCGACTTCAACCAGAACTGTCCTCAATTCATCAAACGTGAGCCTTGAATTTCCTAAAACTTTCCTTAAAGAAACTTTAACAAGACCTATCAGTCTTTCAAAAAACCCTCCCCATCATGGGGCCCTTTCCAAATTAAATCTCCAATCTACTCCCTTATTGGTTAAACAATTCTTAACTTCTTCGCTTCCAAATAACTCGCGCAGTGCTTTCTTTGCAGCTTGAAAGGTTTTAGCATTGTCCGAAATCATTATTTTTGGTGTCCCTCTTCTCCCTACAAACCTTCTAAAACAACGTAGAAATGTAGCCGTTTTCAAATCTTGCACTAACTCAAGGTGCACTGCTCGGGTCACGCAACAAGTAAATAGCGCGATGTAAACCTTACTCGTGCCGCTCTTTGTTTTAGCAAACAAAGGTCCTGCAAAATCTACGCCTGAGTTTTCAAATGGTGCTGCTCTATTGACGCGAAATTCTGGTAACGCCGCTTGCTGTGGCTTTGCACATGCCTTGCTATTCCATCGTTTACATATTAGACATGTATTTATTGCTCGTTTCACCTCTTGTCTGCCCTTCGCTATCCAATACTTTGACCTGAGCTGAGCTAACGTTGACCTAACTCCACTATGCATAACTGACTCGTGACACTGTCCTATGACTAACTCTGTGAACTTATGCTTTCTGGGCAGAACTATCGGCTCTCTTGCTTCGGTATCTAACTCAGAACTGCCTAATCTTCCTGTACAGTGAAGTACCTCGTCTTTTTCTACCAAACCATACTGTCTCTCCAACTGCTTATACCCTTGCTGATCTTTTAAAACTAGCTGCGTTGCCTTAACCCATACTAACTCTGCACTTTTCAATTCACTCGCTTCCAACGCTCCACTAACTCCCTCTTTGCCTAACTTTTTTCGCTTTAAATTGCTTATAAATCGCTTCACCCATGCTGTCACTCTCAGCAGCCTTTTGAGGCAACTGAACCTTTCTAAACTGATCAAATTGCAAATGCCAAACAATGAATCTGTATTGATCAACAAATTGACACTAAAAGATTTCTTCTGTTCCACTTTACTTTCTAAAGTTGGAACTGCTGTTACCAAACTCGGCCAGTCAGTAGGATTACCCTTCAGCCATGACGGCCCTGACCACCAAAGATCACTATTTTTAAGTTCTGTTATTAAAACCCCTCTCGACCCCTAAATCTGCGGGATTTTCTATACCTGGGCAATGGCCCCAGTCTCTCTTCGAACTTATTCTCAAAATCTCGTCCACTCTGTGTTGAACGAACTGCTTCCAGCTACCTGTATTACTTATCCAACACAATACAGTCTTACTGTCAGTCCAGTATCTCACGCCTTCAAACTTGTATTCTACTTCTAGCGCTTGTCTAACTGCATCCATTAATTGCGCTAAAATCCTAGCTGCCATTAACTCTAGTCTGGGTATACTAAGCTCTTTAATCGGAGACACTCTAGTCTTGCTGGCTACTAACTTAACTTGTGCCTTGTCGTTCACTATGGTTACAAGATAAATAACCGCACAATATGCTCGTTTTGATGCATCACCAAACCCATGTAACCAATACTTTGCTCCGCTTGACTGCCCTAAACTATTGTCTGATACGCTCGCATATCTCTCAACTGTCACCCATTTTGCCTCACTAAAATCCTTCAACCATTTCTCCCATCTCTCTCTCAAGCTTTTGGTCAAAACATCGTCCCAATCTAGACTACTAATACATATATCCTGAAAAAGAATTTTAGCTTTAGCAACAGTCGGGCTCAAAAGTCCTAGGGGATCAAATATACAAGCTAGAAGACTCAAAACATTTCGCTTAGTAGGCTCTAAATTCTGCGCTTTTTCAGTCAAGTGGTCAAAGTCAAATCTATTTAAGTCGCGCACGCAATCCCATTCCAATCCAAGCACCTTGCCAAATTGGCCTCCGGCCTGGCACGCAAGCATTTCCTTCGCATATGTTTGCTCTTCAGCCTCTTCTACATGTTTGTCTAAATCATTGGCACTTTCTTGTATTTGCGTCCTTAATTCACTATCATTAGTGCTCCATTTACGCAACTTAAAACCACCTTCGTTCATGCGCTCCCTAGCCTTTGTATATAACAAATACGCACTTTCTGTGTTAGCTTCGCCGGTAGCTAAGTCGTCGACATAAAAACTTCTCAATAATTTATCGGCAAAATCCTTATCATACACTGCGTACTTACTAATATGGTGCCTTAACGTTGCATTGAGCAAGAACGGTGACGAGTTCACACCAAACACGACCCTACAGAAACGATAAACGACAAGATTTAAGTTATTTCGCAGCACGTCATCTACCCATAAAAACCTTAGACTATCGCGATCCTTTTCGTGAACTTCAATATTCAAAAACGCTTTTTCGATGTCCGCTACGAGCGCTACCCTTTGTTCTCGAAATCTAAGCAAAATATCGAAAAGAAGTGGATTGAGCGAGGGTCCAGCATTCAAACAAACATTCAATGAAACACCGGACTTTTGCGACTTTGCACTGGCGTCATAAACAATTCTGACTTTCGTCGTTGTTGCGTCTTTACGCACAACAGCTTGATGTGGTATATAATGTACTTTTGACTTGGGATTAATTACTTTATTCGGGCTTACCTTTTCAATAACACCTGCTTCTTCTTGCGCTTTTATGATGGAGTCATACTCACCTAATAATACTGGATCCTTGTTCAGGCGCTTTATCTGTCCTTTCATACGCTTAAGACTCAATTCATAGTTAGTGGGCAAGGGATCCTGGCTTTCTCTCCAGGGTAGGCCAACTGAATAACGTGTACCACTAAACTTTAAATCACTAATCACTGATTCATGCACATCACTATTCTGATCTTTTATCCCTATGCTCTCTAAATCCCAAAATTTAGTAAAATCTACCAAAGGGTTTCGCACTTCGCTAGAAACAAGAGTTACCTGAGCAGTAACTGGTTCATCTACATCAAACCCACCGATCGGCCCAGAAACCACCCAACCAAGAACAGTATCAATCGCAACAGGTTCGCCGGGCTTACCGCGTCTTACACAATCCCTTTGCAACAACCACAAATTAACCGCACAACACTTCTCAACTCAGAATCCAAAGCCCTTTGCCCAAACGTCCCAATGCTCAAGTTTTCCACACGCACAACCTCGCAACCAAGAGCTTTCGCAACCTTAACAGTAACAAACGTCCTCTGACTCCCCGAGTCCAACAACACTCTCACACGACCGCTTTTCTTGCCAACCAACATTGCTTGAGCCGTCTGCAACACAACTTTAGAACAAGACTTAGAAACTATACTATTTTTTGGACTTACAATTAACGTGGTGCTTACCTCCCTATCCCCTCCATCTGCCTCAGGTCCCT